TTTTCCGCAACTGAGCTTGTTTAAGTCGTTTAAGGTTGAGCACGGATGGCGTTACAATTTTGGCAATAAGTGCACAGCATTTTTTTTCTGCGTTTATCTGTTTGTTGTAGAGCTTATTTCTTCAAGGAAAAGAAAATTTTTTAGCTCTATGTGATTAAAGTTGTTACGGTAGCGTAAAGTTTGAGAATTTTTTTCTTAAACGGCTTTAGAGGAGTTCGGTTAAGGACTCTTAGGGATAGCCGATAGGGTGGCAAGATGAAATGTGCGTTTATTGAACGGTCTCAGTTGGTTTGAGCCCCGGGAGGGGAGGGGGGGGGGGTACTCCCTATGATGGTCTAGACGGAGCAGCTTCGTTTCCCCAAAAGGAGTATCTTTTTCAGGCTTTAGCTATATGAAAGGGTAGGGATTTCATGTGTGGAAGTATATAAAAGTGAGGGAAATCTGTCATTTGGTCTGTGAAAGGGCCCAAAGGAGCTAAAAGATGAATTTTTGGCTTTATAAAGTCGAAAAACGTTCTATTTTTCTGATTGATTCCTATTTAAAAGACAGTGCATTTACAGCAGTTAAAAGAGATGCAAAGTTTTAAACAAGGTTTGTGAAAGGCGTGCCATTTCTCAATGGAAGGTAGTATACGAAAGGGGTACCTTTTTCAAGGCAAAAAGAGGTATAGGGGTTGAACCTCGAGGTGGAGCCTACCCGTATAAACATTTGTTGAGTACCCCCCTCTCCGGGGGTTTGAAATCTGTGCGTTTGTCAAGAATGAGCTTGGCTTTCCCTTGGAAGCAGGAAGGGAAGAATACTGGGGACAAATTAAAAAGTTACAGGTTCCAATGTGTTAATAACCTTTTTGTGGCCGGACGCAATCTCTGAAACGCTTAATTTTGTGTTAGAAATGTCAACCTTATTGTCCATTTGTTTTCTCCCTTATTTATTTTTGATATTACTGAATTAGTATGGAGATTTAAAAATTTCTTAATTTTACTTAACTGCAGCCAGCCCGTCGCCAAAAAAGGCATCAGCAACCATCCGGCTAAGAAGACGAAGACGTCTTTTAAATGACTCTTCAACTAGTGTCACCATAAATGACGTGCGAAAAGAAATCACAAAACAGTTTGAACAACTTATGCCCACCAAGTACTGTAAGTCAAGTGAGAAAGTATGTCCTGCAGGTCTCCCCGGATATCCTGGTCCCATTGGAGCAAGGGGACCACGTGGCAGGAGGGGACCAAAAGGAAAGAAAGGTCCTCAAGGTCCCATAGGACCTCGTGGAAAATCCGGAAAAACAAGAATGACGGGTCCTGCAGGACCGAAAGGAGAAAAGGGAGATAAAGGAGAACCTGGGCCAAAAGGCATGCCGGGACCACCTGGAAGGCCTGGGAAATCGATATCTGCTCCACAAGTGACGTTATCGCCAGCAGAGCAGACACGAGATGAGGGAGGAAATACGGCATTTTATTGCACGATTGCAGGAAGCCCTTCCCCAATCGTGGAATGGCAATTTAAGGGCACAAAGCTTCTGTCAGGTGCAAAGTATCTGATTAAAGAAGGAGAGTTGATAGTTAGAAATCTGAATTACAGCGATGCTGGACCGTACACATGTGCTGCCGGGAACATTCTTGGATCGTTTGAGGCCACTAGCAACTTGACTGTTCGAGGTAAGAGGAACATTTAACTTTGGGTGTTGTTATATCTGGCTGCTTGATTTTGTAGTCTTCTTTGTGCTCCAAAAATGCGAGAATAAGAGGCCAGGTTTGAATATAAAAATGGCACCGTTCTTTACTCATTTACTTTTATCTCTTCTTTCATTTTTTTCTTATTTCTTATTCAAGACTTAAGCAGTGTATAACGCCAAACTTTAAATTTACTCAGTCATACAACAACAACAACGATAACAACAACAACAACATAAGCTTTATTTGCATGACTATAATTATTTAGTTACAGTATTGCAAAAGATTTAACATAAAGTTACAATTTATAACAATGATAATGCAATGCGATGATTACTACAGTCAATCAAGTGTCATCAGCATGATTTGATAATAAATTAGTGCGTAAATCATTACATAATGAGACAAATGATCAAGGACTTTACATTTTGCTCATTAACACTAGGCTAGTAGTCACGAGTGTAGTTCAACGTTTAATCTGAGCCATACAACCATAAACACAATAATTAATATTAAAGATATTAACACATGACAGGAATATTTGGACCTTATATGAACGCGAGGGCTTCTCCTCTCTTTTTAGCTTAGACTACCAGGGGAGGTTACTTAGGTTAAATTTTTGCAGGATGGGTGCCGCTGGCCTCTCAAAACGCCTACCCCATTATATTCTATGCATGCTGGTCGATCATGTACTGGCTCTATTTCAGGTCTTCCAGTCTTCAGAAAAGTTCCACCTTCACTTGCCACACCAGTTCAAGGCACGACGTTTCAAGTAACATGCCAAGCTGACGGATATCCTCGCCCCGCGATAACCTGGACTAGAGCAGCAATGCCCTTACCTGCTGGAAAGACTAGTATAAACCAAGGCACACTTACCATTAACAACTTGAGTCCTGCTGACAATGGTTTTTACGACTGCGTAGCTACTAACATTATGGGAACAAAGAAGAAAAGAATCAACTTAGCAGTACAAGTGCATCGTTCAGGTTTGTATTGAAGGCACCGTCTCACTCTGAGGGTACTCTGTATATACCTGCTTCAATAAAAGGTTGCTTTGGTAATTGGGCACTGGGCATTTGGGCGTACGGAACTCACTGCAATGAATTGCTTGAGTGTCCACCAAACAATAGCTTCCCAGCGCGCAATTATACAATGCCCAAAGCAAGAATCTGGTACTCTTAGATTAAACGTTCATTTCAGTAATGCAAATCGTCTTATCCAGCTTGCCATTTCGGTTAAACACCAGATAAGAGTGTGCATTATGAAAGACAGTTTTTCGAAAGTCTAAATTTGCCACTGCGGGAACTATACAGCTATACCGAAATATATCGCAGGGTGATCTTTCCTAAGACCGCTTTATTTTAATTCTTGTTGTTTCTTTGTTTGTCTGTTTATTTTTCAGGCATTCAAAAACCATCTAATCACTGCTAAAGCCAGACGAGAGCTACTATCATTGCGAGTGTATGTTGCGCTTACGGAAATTGGCAACTTAAGACAATTATGCGTGTTTACTAGAGTTTAAATGATCTTAAATGCTTAAACGTCCTTAACAGCGTGCAAATCACGTACATGCATGCATACATGCTTTCTTTAGTCTCTTGCAATGTTACTCTTTTTCTCAATAAATTCAGTTGTTGTAACATTTTAAAAACTTTTTACCTTGTCATTTTATGGACGTTGACTTTTAATACTTAGGTTTTGAAAGCTCAGTCATTGTGGGAAACAACAGAAATCACTTGACCTTGTTAAGAAACTGGCTAGCACCTGTGACAAAAAGCGTGAATTCTCTCTGGAAGCGCTGTTGGCGTGCATCCGTGGACGGCTGGGCTGGAAGTACATTTCACTCACGATGTGACAGCAAGGGCCCGACTGTGACAATAATAAGGGTCGGGAGATATATTTTCGGAGGATACACAAGTATTTCATGGGGTAAGTGAGCATTGTAATCCATGGCAGTAGCATTTATACCTTTGGCGTAATTGGCATTCATATGTTCAGCTAAAAGTGCAGCTTGGTACTTAGCAATATGGAATCATGTGAGTCTACCTTTCAAACATGGTTAAGCAGTGGCGGACAAAGGTTCTAGGTTAATAGCTCTAGATGCGGGCCCATATCCCCTCGTTATTCAAGGAGCGAGGACCGCCCCTCCTACACTCACATGGTGTGAATGAACGCCCCACCCCTTTTCTAGGGTTCTGGCGCTGCAGATGGTAAGTAATGCATTTCTAGCTTGGCAAAACGTGCCCAAATTCCAGGCCAATACTACCGAATTATAATAATTTTGAGGTTCTAATTGAGGACCGCCCCTCCTACACTTACATGGTGTGTATGAGCGCCACCCTCCTCCCCCCCCCTTCTTCTCAAGTTTTGGTTTTGCAGATGATAAGTGATGCATTTCTAGCCTGTCAAAACGTGCCTAAATTCCAGGCTACTACTATTATAATAATTTTGAGGTTATAAAATATCAATATTGTTCTGACTTTCTTGCCACCCTGCTATTTTCCATCCCTCAGTTTCCATATTGCAAAAGTAGCGACTAACGAACTTCACCACAGGTTTTTGGTGAAATTCGCAAATTTTGGCAAAGAAAAAACACGCTCTTTTGACATGTCCGCGTACGTGATACACCAAGACGAAGGTTCATTTCACCGATCAAACTTTCGTAATTTTGCTTGAGCGAAATGTCGCGAAGAGGATTCTTCTCTTCGGATTCGAACGAACTTAATAGATTGAAATAAGTGACAGAAATACATAATGCTTTATACCTTTTCAAGAATGAAGGCTCCTAAAACTCTTTATTGTCTGTTTCCTTTGTTGTCTTCTTAATACAGTACCCTTAAAATCGAACGAAGTATTAATTTACCAATAAAATGTATTGCGACATGCACCAGTTCATGTCCAGTATAGCTGTATCTTTTACCAAAATACCTGCTCGTAAATAATAATGCAATAAAATAATATTCATACTACTAATAATGATGATTATAATAATAATAATAATAATAATACAATAATAACGATAATAATAATATTGATAATGATAATGATAATAATAAAGAAGACAGAAACTGATTTCGTTTTTGATAAATGACGAACGTTACTGAGAAACTCGATCGCATTTGTTTTATGAAAATAAGGTATTTACTGTTTTTAATTAATAATAATCATCATCATCGTCATCATTATGACAGGCACGAGGACAATGCCGCTAACTTATCTTAGAAAAGTTTTGTTTCATTTCTTTTAGCTTCTGGTTCTGGCCGGTATCAATACGATTCAAAAGCCTTCTTATTTTCCCTGGTAAACAAGCCAGGATGGGCGCCTGTCAAATTGTCTCAGTCAGGGCAATCTAGTTCTAGCAGAGCACATTCCATATGCTTTCGCTTATCTTATGGGCCTACATTCGGAGGAGGACATGACATTAGCATCAAAAACTACGCTTCATCTAATAGCAATTCTTACAGCAACCTTGGCCATACTTACAGCCCACCGAGCGGATACAGCTACCAAAGCACCTTCGCACAAACATTCCTGGCAGGATCACTGTACTTCACACCAGACGAAGTTGAAACCTTTTACGAAACAACCTAATTAATATAATGCGTGACACCGGCTTTGATATTTCAGCTGAGCTGATTGTACAAGTAGACACTTAAAGGTGAACGAATCTACAGCACTAAGCAAGCTCCTTATATCTAAATCAAAACACAATCATTAGAACGTATACTACAATATTTCACAAACAAACAAAAAATAGAATTGTAAAAAAGAGAAATGATTTTGATATCTATAACTGGTCCAACTGCGCTGATCTTTTTTTACCTGGATACGAGTCTGGGGGCAGCTATGCTGTCATCTGTCAGAAAACAGTTACGTCCTTATCATGAGGGCAAAGAAATCTTGCTTCCGAGTAAACAAAGTTGAAAAAAAAAAATATTACAGTGATATTTTACTGAACCAGGCTGTCCTCACTGCTTTGTTGCCCAATGCGATACCACTGATATTAGTAATCAAAAATTAAGATTATTACTAATTGCTTAATGCGGCAACACTATCTCATATACAGGAAAAGACTGCTTGCAGTCACGTGACAATCCCGATCACCTTCTAGCAGTGTAGCAATTAAAATTACCAGCGTTGGGTTACTACCTCATGTAAGTCCTACGTATAAAATCTGAGGTACATCAGTATCCTTTATGACTGACCTATTATATAAAATATTATTAAATAAAATATACCCCTATAGGAAGTTTCTACTGATAATAAATAAATAAAAGACCACGCTTACGAGCTAGTATTAATTGTAAATGTCCAGACAAGAATTAAATTTCAATAAAATTACTCATGTTTGTCATAAAAAGAGAACTTCATTCTCTCAACGTTGTCAATAACGAGTGTTAATGGTCACGTGGTCAAACTTGTTTCCTTTCCTGTAAACGTGATGTTGATTTCAGCAATAATTTAAAATATGGTATCTGTTGGAACTTTGACCACGTTTGAGTGCAACAGGAGGAAGGTTAACAACCGGCAGAGAAGCCCGGCTCACGTCAATCGAATGTAAGCTAATTTAATACACTTGTTTTAATGGGCTTAAGGAGAAGGGATCAGGTTTAACTTGCAACTTTCCCTCAAACTTGGAGTAACTGTGACAGAAAACAAGAATTGAATTAAATAAATTACTCATGCTCGAATGTTTGTTACAAAAAGAGAAACTTTATTCTCTCCACGTTATCAAGAATGAAGAATAAAGCCAACAGTCACGTGGTCAACCTCTTACGTGATGTTTGATTTCTGATATCGTAAAATTCCGAAAATAAGCCCCTCCAAATATAAGCCCCCCAAACTCGTAACGCAAAAAACCCTCCGTTAAATCGCCCCTCCAAATATAAGCCTCCCCGGGGGCTTGTACTTGGAAATTGCCCTCAAATACAAAGTAAAACAAACAGAAACGGTAAATTTACTTCCAACTATAAGGCTAGCCCAATCAGTTTTGAAACGCAAATTTCCTCCGTACGTAAGCCCCTCCGAATATAAGCCCCTCAAAAAGGGCCTTTGAAAAGCATAAGCCCCGGGGCTTATTTTCGGAATTTTACGGTATTTTAGAATACGGAAACCGTTGGAACTTTGACCACGTTTGAGTGCAACAAGAGAAAAGATACCATTGACAAAATAGCCCGGCTTACGTCAAGTATCTAATGTAAGCTAACACTCTTGTTTTTCTGGGCTAAATCAGAAGCGGATCAGGTTTAACTTAAAACTTTCCCTCAAACTTCCGTCTTCGAATGGCTGTGAAAGAAAACGATCGTAAAACTACAAAAATGAAAACCGTAAACTCTTCGAAATCTCAACGAGTCCTTGAGTTTGTTCCGTCACTTAGACCATCGTTCCTTTCTGTTCTATTAGTTTTTGTCTGCGGATGTCTCTGGGTGAAGAATGAAACAACAAGCGAACGACTGATCGCGCTGGAATCTCGCGTTAACCTTTTCCCCTGCGTTCAGAGTGTCTCGGCTGAAAATACTGACAGGATGTCTCTTTTACCGACAGAAGGCACAGCAAGAGATCTTTATAAGAAAGTTCAGACACATATTTCAGAAAGGATTGGTTATACTCCAGGTAAAATCATCATTTCAGATGTTTTTTAGATGCAGCTAGATGTTTAGAACTGAGTTTATCCTCTTTTGATTTAGGCATATAATCTTTCACACAGTGCGAGTGTACGAGATCTTTGGATATTTCATGACAGAATTGAATTTTTACTTCTACTAACACTGTATGAACCCTTTTGAAATACTCTCACTCTTTTGTAATACTGCTTAGATATTCACTTAGCCACCTATACTGGAAAAACAGTAAAGAAATTTACGGTGTAAATGATGTTGAATCATGGCTTAAGTGGCGAACGACTTGCTCACGTACAAGATATGTGGTCGATACGACCATAAAGCTTCATTAAACAAAAAATTATCGCTTACATATTCGACCATTTAGGATGGTAGAGGAAGCTCCCTAAGCATTTAGGGTGTGCGTTCAGAGTGTGCATAACAGTTTTCCGCCACTGAGCTTGTTTAAGTCGTTTAAGGTTGATCACGGATGGCGTTACAAACTTGGCAATAAGTGCACAGCATTTTTTTTCTGCGTTTATCTGTTTGCTGTAGAGCTTATTTCTTCAAGGAAAAGAAAATTTTTAGCTCTATGTGATTAAAGTTGTTACAGTAGCGTAAAATTTGAGAATTTTTGTCTTAAACGGCTTTAGAGGAGTCCGGTTAAGGAGTCTTAGGGATAGCCGATAGGGTGGCAAGATGAAATGTGCGTTTATTGAACGGTCTCAGTTGGTTTGAACCCCGGGGGGGGTCCCTATGATGGCCTAGACGGAGCGGCTTCGTTTCCCCAAAAGGAGTATCTTTTTCAGGCTTAAGGTATATGAAAGGGTAGGGATTTCATTTGTGGAAGTATATAAAAGTGTAGGGAAATCTGTCATTTGGTCTGTGAAAGGGCCCAAAGGGGCTAACAGATGAATTTTTGGCTTTATAAAGTCGAAAAACGTTCTGTTTTTCTGATTGATTCCTATTTAAAAGACAGTGCATTTACAGCAGTTAAAAGAGATGCAAAGTTCTAAACAGGGTTTGTGAAAGGCGTGCCATTTCTCAATGGAAGGTAGTATACGAAAGGGGTACCTTTTTCAAGGCAAAAAGAGGTATAGGGGTTGAACCTCGAGGTGGAGCCTCCCCGTACAAACATTTGTTGAGGACCCCCTCCCCGGGGGTTTGAAATGTGTGTGTTTATCAAGAATGAGCTTGGCTTTCCCTTGGAAGCAGGAAGGGAAGAAGACAGGAACAAATTAGAAAGTTGGGTTCCAATGTGTTAATAACCTTTTTGTGGAGCGCAATCTCTGAAACGCTTAATTTTGTGTTAGAAATGTCAACCTTATCATTCATTTGTTTTCTCTTTATTTTTTATATTACTGAATTAGTATGGATATTTAAAAATTTCTTAATTTTTCTTAACTGCAGCCAGCCCGTTGCCATAAAAGGCATCAGCAACCATCCGGCTAAGAAGACGAAGACGTCTTTTAAATGACTCTTCAACTAGTGTCACCATAAATGACGTGCGAAAAGAAATCACAAAACAGTTTGAACAACTTATGCCCACCAAGTACTGTAAGTCAAGTGAGAAAGTATGTCCTGCAGGTCCCCCCGGATATCCTGGTCCCATTGGAGCAAGGGGACCACGTGGCAGAAGGGGACCAAAAGGAAAGAAAGGTCCTCAAGGTCCCATAGGACCTCCTGGAAAATCCGGAAAAACAGGAATGACGGGTCCTGCAGGACCGAAAGGAGAAAAGGGAGATAAAGGAGAACCTGGGCCAAAAGGCATGCCGGGACCACCTGGAAGGCCTGGGAAATCGATATCTGCTCCACAAGTGACGTTATCGCCAGCAGAGCAGACACGAGATGAGGGAGGAAATACGGCATTTTATTGCACGATTGCAGGAAGCCCTTCCCCAATCGTGGAATGGCAATTTAAGGGCACAAAGCTTCTGTCAGGTGCAAAGTATCTGATTAAAGAAGGAGAGTTGATAGTTAGAAATCTGAATTACAGCGATGCTGGACCGTACACATGTGCTGCCGGGAACATTCTTGGATCGTTTGAGGCCACTAGCAACTTGACTGTTCGAGGTAAGAGGAACATTTAACTTAGGGTGTTGTTATATCTGGCTGCTTGATTTTGTAGTCTTCTTTGTGCTCCAAGAATGCGAGAATAAGAGGCCAGGTTTGAATATAAAAATGGCACCGTTCTTTACTCATTTACTTTTATCTCTTCTTTCATTTTTTTCTTATTTCTTAAGCAGTGTATAACGCCAAACTTTAAATTTACTCACTCATACAACAACAACAACGACAACAACAACAACAACATAAGCTTTATTTGCATGACTATAATTATTTAGTTACAGTATTACAAAAGATTTAACATAAAGTTACAATTTATAACAATGATAATGCAATGCGATGATTACTACAGTCAATCAAGTGTCATCAGCATGATTTGATAATAAATTAGTGCGTAAATCATTACATAATGAGACAAATGATCAAGGACTTTAGATTTTACTCATTAACACTAGGCTAGTAGTCACGAGTGTAGTTCAACGTTTAATCTGAGCCATACAAACATAAAGACAATAATTAATATTAAAGATATTAACACATGACAGGAATATTTGGACCTTACATGAACGCGAGGGCTTCTCCTCTCTTTTTAGCTTGGACTATCAGGGGAGGTTACTTAGGTTAAATTTTTGCAGGATGTGTGCCGCTGGCCTCTCAAAACGCCTACCCCATTATATTCTATGCATGCTGGTCGATCATGTACTGGCTCTATTTCAGGTCTTCCAGTCTTCAGAAAAGTTCCACCTTCACTTGCCACACCAGTTCAAGGCACGACGTTTCAAGTAACATGTCAAGCTGACGGATATCCTCGCCCCGTGATAACCTGGACTAGAGCAGCAATGCCCTTACCTGCTGGAAAGACCAGTATAAACCAAGGCACACTTACCATTAACAACTTGAGTCCTGCTGACAACGGTTTTTACGACTGCGTAGCTACTAACATTATGGGAACAAAGAAGAAAAGAATCAACCTAGCAGTACAAGTGCATCGTTCAGGTTTGTATTGAAGGCACCGTCTCACTCTGAGGCTTCTCTATATATACCTGCTTAAATAAAAGGTTGCTTTGGCAATTGGGCACTGGGCATTTGGGCGTACGGAACTCACTGCAATGAATTGCTTGAGTGTCCACCAAACAATAGCTTCTCAGTGCGCAATTATACAATGTCCAAAGCAAGAATCAGGTACCGTTAGATTAAACGTTCATTTCAGTAATGCAAATAGTCTTATCCAGCTTGCGATCTTGGTTAAACACCAGATAAGAGTGTTCATTATGAAGGACAGTTTTTCGAAAGTCTAAATTTGCCACTGCGGGAACTATACAGCTATACCGAAATACATCGCAGGGTGATCCTTCCGAAGACCGCTTTATTTTAATTTTTGTTGTTTCTTTGTTTGTCTGTTTATTTTTCAGGCATTCAAAAACCATCCAATTATTGCTAAAGCCAGACGAAAGCTACTATCATTGCGAGTGTATGTTGTGCTTACGGAAATTTACAACTTAAGACAATTATGCGTGTTTAATGGAGTTTCAATGATCTTAAATGCTTAAACGTCCTTAATAGCGCGAAAATCACGTACATGCATGCATACATGCTTTCTTTAGTCTCTTGCAATGTTGCTCTTTTTCTCAATAAATTCAGTTGTTGTAACATTTTAAAAAAAACTTTTTACCTTGTCATTTTATGGACGTTGACTCTTAATACTTAGGTTTTGAAAGCTCAGTCATTGTGGGAAACAACAGAAATCACTTGACCTTGTTAAGAAACTGGCTAGCACCTGTAACAAAAAGCGTGAATTCTCTCTGGAAGCGCTGTTGGCGTGCATCCGTGGACGGCTGGGCTGCAAGTACATTTCACTCACGATGTGACAGCAAGGGCCCGACTGTGACAATAATAAGAGTCGGGAGATATATTTTCGGAGGATACACAAGTATTTCATGGGGTAAGTGAGCATTGTAAGCCATGGCGGTGACATTTATACCTTTGACGTAATCAGTTGGCATTGATATGTTCAGCTACAAGTGCAGGTTGGTACTTAGCAATATGGAATCATGTGACTGTACCTTTCATACATGGTTAAGCAGTGGCGGACAAAGTTTCTAGGTTAATAGCTCTAGATGTTGGCCCATATCCCCTCGTTCCTCAAGGGGCGAGGACCGCCCCTCCTACACTCACATGGTGTGAATGAACGCCCCACCCCTTTTCTAGAGTTCTGGTGCTGCAGATGGTAAGTGATGCATTTCTAGCTTGGCAAAACTTGCCCAAATTCCAGGCCAATACTACCGAATTATAATAATTTTGAGGTTCTAATTGAGGACCGCCCCTCCTACACTCACATGGTGTGTATGGGCGCCACCTCCCACCCTTCTTCTCAAGTTCTGGTTTTGCAGATGATAAGTGATGCATTTCTAGCCTGTCAAAACGTGCCGAAATTCCAGGCTGCTACTATTACAGTAATTTTTAGGTTATAAAGTATCGATATTGTTCTGACTTTCTTGCCACCCTGCTATTTTCCATCCCTCAGTTCCCATATTGCAAAAGAAGCGACTAACGAACTTCACCTCATGTTTTTGGTGAAATTCGCAAATTTTGGCAAAGAATTAAAAAACACGCTCTTTTGACATGTCCACGTACGTGATACACCAACACGAAGGTTCATTTCACCTATCAAACTTTCGTAATTTTGCCTGAGCGAAATATCGCGAAGAGGATTCTTCTCTTCGGATTCGAACGAGCTTGATAGACTGAAATGGGTGACAGAAATACATAATGTTTTATACATTTTCAAGGATAAAGGCTCCTAAAACTCTTTATTGTATTCTTAATACAGTACCCTTAAAATCAAACGAAGTATTAATTTACCAATAAAAGTGTATTGCGACATGCACCAGTTCATGTAAAAAAGAAGCTTCTAGCTTCGGCAAGTGGTAAAAAAGACAAAAACAGATAAATTTGGAGATTTGCTTCATAAAGTTATAAAAGAACAAATGTTATTAATTACTAATTTTTTCCCCGATCTATTGCTTGTAATTGCAAATCTTTTAAAATTAACATCTCCCACAGGCCGACACCTCAGCTTCGGTGAGCTTGCAGCCACATAAAACTCTCTCCTGAGCGGACGAATCACGCTTGCCATGAGTATAGTTGTATCTTTTACCAAAATACCTGCACGTAAATAATAATGCAATAATATAGTATGCATACTAATAATAATGATGATGATGATGATGATAATAATAATAATATAATAATAATAATAATGATAATAATGATAATTATAATGATAATAATAAAGAAGACATTGAAACTGATTTCGTTTTTGATAAATGACGAACATTACTGAGAAACTCGATCGAATTGTTTTATGAGAATAAGGTATTTACTGTTTTTAATTAATAATAATAATAATCATCGTCATCATTTTGACAGGCACAAGGACAATGTCGCTAACTTATCTTAGAAAAGTTTTGTTTCATTTCTTTTAGCTTCTGGTTCTTACCGGTATCAATACGACTCAAAAGCCTTCTTATTTTCGCTGGTAAACAAGCCAGGATGGGCGCCTGTCAAATTATCTCAGTCAGGGCAATATAGTTCTAGCAGAGCACATTCCATATACTTTCGCTCATCCTATGGGCCTACATTTGGAGGAGGACATGACATTAACATAAAAAACTACGCGTTATCTAAGAGCAATTCTGAGCGGACACAGCTACGGCAGCACCTTCACACGAACATTCCTGAGCTGAGCTGATTGTACAAGTAGACGCTTAAAGCTGAACGAATCTACAGCACTAAGCAAGCTCCTTATATCTAAATCAAAACACAATCATTAGAACGTATACTACAATATTTTAAAAACAAACAAAAAATAGAATTGTCAAAAAGAGAAATGATTTTGATATCTATAACTGGTCCAACTGCTCTGATTATAAATGGCTGATAAAAGCGTGTTATAAAGTATCTCCCAAGCTGTTCACAGTACCGCGTAGGCCTTAACCCAACCCTAATCTTTTTTCACCTGGGTATACGAGTCTAGGTGGGGACAGCTATACTATCATCTGTCAGAAAACAGTTACATCCTTATCATGAGGGCAAAGAAATCTCAGCTTCCGAGTAAACAAAGTTGAAAAAAAAAAAAAGCAGTACAGTGATATTTTACTGAACCAGGCTGTCCTCACTGGCGGTTTGTAACTGTGGCTTGGCCTTCATAAGTATTATAATAATCCATAAGGAAACTTAAGAGTCTTAACTTCAACTTCAACTTCAACTTTATTTCATAAGACTATTGGTTACAATAGACTGGCCCGCAAAATAGCAATTGCTAATCTAGGCGGTCCAGTTAAAAGAAAAAGTAAATTGAAAGGAAAAGAAAGGAAAGGAAAAGGAAGGAAAACTACAATTTTAAGTTACAATAAATAATATTCTATCACAGTTTTATTTTAATTACATTAAATCTGAACAAGCAAACAAACAAATACTTTAATACAGAAATCACTAAACTATTAATCGAACTTTTTCAACTATTAAGGGCGTCTCAATATAGTCATCTTCTCTTTTTAAGATATCCTAAAGCAATCTGTGAAGTACTTTCCTAAATTTCTTTTAAGGAAGATCTCTAATATGACAAGGCATCTCATTCCAAAGTTTTTTTTTTCTTAAGAGATAACACTGATCAATGTTTGGTTTTACTCGGTCCGCGTGCATAATGCCGGATATCACTATATAAATATTAGTAATCAAAGATTAAAATTACTATCTCTAATTATCTCATATGCAGGTATAGACTGCTTGCAGTCACGTGACAATCCCGATCGCCTTCTGGCAGTGTAGTAATTAAAGGTTACTAATTCATGTAAGCCTACGTATAATATCTGAGGCACATCAGTAGCCATCATGACTGTTCTAGTATATAAAATATTAATGTAATATACACTCATAAGAAATGTATACTGATAGTAAATAGATAAAAGATCACGTTCACGGGCTAGTATTAATTGTTTTTACAGATAAGAATTAAAATTCAATAAACTTACTCAGTTTTTATATAAAAAGAGAGCTTCATTCTCTGAACGTTATCAATAATGTTTGTTAATGGTCACGTGGTCAAACTTGTTTCCTTTCCTGTAAACGTCATGTTTGATTTAAGCAATAATTTAAAATATGGTGTCTGTTGGAACTTTGAACACATTTGAGTGCAGCAGGAGGGAGGTTAACAACAGGAAGAGCAGCCCGGCTTACGTCAATCTAATGTAAGCTAATTTTAACCAACAATACACTCGTTTTTATGGGCTTAATGAGAAGGGATCAGGTTTAACTTCCAACTTTCTCTCAAACGTGGAGAGACTGTGACAGAAAACAAGAATTAAATTAAATAAAATTACTCATACTCGAATGTTTTTTACTAAAATAGGAACTTTATTCTCTCTACGTTATCAAGAATGATAAATAAAGCCAATGGTCACGTGGTCAACCTCTTACCTTTCCTGTGAACGTGATGAATGGTTTCTACAATATTTTAGAATACGGAAATTGTTGCAACTTTGACCACGTTTGAGTGCAACAAGAGAAAAGTTACCACCGGCAGAATAGCCCAGCTTAAGTCAATCTAATGTAAGCTAACGATCTTGTTTTTCTGGGCTAAATCAGAAGCGGACCAGGTTTAA